AGCTTCTCCTTTAAGCATCCAGCAAGAACAGCAAACACCTATAGCTGTGGCCAGCACAAATGCAAGAAGCCTCAGGTCACACCTTGCCAGTTTCTCCACAGCAGTGCCTGTCTCTTCACCATTAGGGTCTTGCTGCCATACACCTTGCTTGCCTGAAGTCTTGCTGTCGAGTAGGGAAGGCACTCTATCTCTTATTCTAGTCCCACAGCTGTTGGTGATTTGCAAGACCATTCTGATTTGTAAGACTGTGTGTCTGCAGTCAAGATAGTTGGGGACCAAAGGGGTTAACTAATGGCTTAAAAAAGCCAACTTTTAAGCTAAAATAAGATCTCAACCATAGGTAGAGATTTGTGAGTGAGTCTCATCTACATAATATTTAGAAAACACCTACCTTCACAAGGAGAGTGTGTATATATATAACAAAGGGCTTGTGAAAGAATATCGGTATATTTTACCTTTCTCTATATTAAGCTATTTTCTGTGCTATCTTTTCTCTAATGATTGTATACTTTGTTCTTTAACAGCTTAGCATTGCTTCCATATGGATGTCCATTCACTTAATAGGCTGCGGGCCTTGTGAGTTTTCACAAAACTAATAAATACATTCAGGAAACCTTGGGTTAAGCTTCCTCCGACTTTTCTGAGTCTTATTACTCACTATTACTCTCGCAAATGAAAGCTGTCGTATGTTTGTGCTTTGGTTAATTCTTGGGCCTTCAGGCCCTTTTGAGCAAATACTTCACAAAACTAGGTATCACACCTGGGTGAGATAATTAACTATATGCAAAAGTTGTACTAATTCTCAACATATTTGTTGTTATTAGGTACCATAGATTCAGGTCTAACAAATGGCAACCCATACTTCCAACAAAGCACTGCATAGTTCCAAAAATTGAATTATCAAATCAAAGGGGATGAACATTTTATCCTTAGTATACACTTTACCAGATAGATATAGATTTGTTGAAGGCTGTTACATTGCTGATGGGAATATATACATTGTGGCAAATATGTGTTTCATCAAACACCCCATGATCACCAATACTGACTTTGGTAATGATATGTTTTTTTCCTTAATTTGATCTAATTTGGTACTATTTCTTTTTACTACAGAGAAGCTCACTGAGTTTCCATTGTTACTGCTTGTTTATTCTTTTGTGAATACTTTCTCAGAGCTCTTGCCTATCTTTTGAAAGCTTGACTATTCTAATGAAAAGAAATTACCTATTTTTATACTTCAATATGCTATCTTGTGGCCATCATTCCTTCAGTTTCTTGTTGGTAATTTTTGTCCTTTTCGAATGTGTAGATATTCTACATTTTTATGAATTTATTACTATAAAGAATTTCTCTTTGTAGTCGTTTCACCATTTTTTGGCTTAGAATGAATGCCTATATATAAAACTGTAGCTAGGCAATAAATAATCACTTCTTAAGGCTTTTAATTGTCGCTATTAATATTAACTCTTTAACCTCTCTGGAATTTGTTAATTTATCATACTACCCCATAAAGCACATGTTTTATAGCACTGTTTTCTGAATAAATGTCTTGCTACTTTAATATTTCATGTTCATGCAATCTATAATAATTTCTGTAAAATAAATTTCTCTCCTTTCCTTACTAGCATATTAAGACAAATGACATTTTATTAATTATCAAGTTACATTGTCCTGCACTTCAGAAATAGCACATGTACTATGGTATTATCATGATGAAAACCAGGGAAGGTGTACATTGACTTACACTTATATGATAATTATGATAAAGATTTCCTTCCCTTGAAGCTCCTAGGATTGTCCAGATCACTAGAAAGAACAAAAGAGCCTTTAAAACAAAATATCTACGAGTGATTGTATGAAAAAACAAGAATTATAAATCTTCATTCATATAAGTGTAAGAAAATAAACTTTAACAGTTTAAGTAACAAAAGTGACTTTGTTAATAATCTCTGTTCCTAATAAACACCACTAGGTTACAAAAGTGATCTGACATCTGAGGTATGGTATCTTTTTCATTCCAATTGACAATTGAGGAAATTGAGGTTCAGAAATTCCTTCTGAAATCTGGTATCTAGGGAGGACAGCAGGAGAATTCATTCCAGGGCTGTGAAGACAGCATTAGGGCTCCTTCTCTTGCTCTCCTTCTGAATATTTCTAGACAAGCGGCACACTTAAGTGACATGCCAAGCCAGACTAGCGCAGGTGGAAGGGTAAAGTGCCCCTTTCTTGTGTGAGAACTTGCACGCAAAGGACTTACCCCATTGTAGGTCAGAGGGTAAGTTCTCTCTTATCTAGCCAAGCCCCCTTGGCTTGGCTAAATTCACTTAGCCCCTGGTTGTTGTTGTTGGTTTTTTTCCAGGCATCCTTTCTGTGCAAGTTCACATGGTAATTTCAGCACAATCTTTCCAGCGAAGGTTGCATTTGCAGGCAGCATAGGTTTGGTTTTGAAGCCCCTGAAGTCCGCTTCACAGCCAGCTTCGTTCTGTGGAGACAAGTGGCTGTTTGTTCCTCAGGCGGGGCCTGTGCTCTTCAGTTTACCAGCTTTGCTGTGGCCTGGGCTGATCCTTTCTCAGGTCCCTTGGGAGCCACTTTTGTGGCAGATTCCATTTGGTTTCACAGCACCCTGAGGAAGGGCAGCGGGGGGCCACTTGGCAGGGCCTACAAATCTCTCACATTGGGAGCAATTTGCAAAGCCAGGGCCCAGCCCCGAACAGGCTGCTCCTGTTACTACCATTGTCTGCAGGGATCACTCCCTGTTTCCCAGATGACCTGCCTGCAAGTAGAGAGATGTGAAAAGTTAGAGACAAAAATGGTTTCTGCAGAGTGAGGGGGAGCTTTCTTGTACAGAAAGGAAGGAAATACCTCTGTGGGATTGCATTTTTTTTTACCCCCTCTTCATCCTGAAAATACAAAGAGACTCTGTCTTTAATGCGAATGTCGGCTTTAAATCTTTTAGATTTGGATTAACTCTGCAAAAGGAAGAAAAAAATCTGACAGGCTTTCAGATATGACGGAGAAAAACTTTTTCCCCCTCAATTCATGTTGTTCATTTGTAAAGCCAAAAGCTGGGTGGACTGAATAGTGGGGCGCCAGTTGTTGGTCCATTCATAGTTAGCATCACAATGGTCAGAATTAGCTGCCTCTGGCTTCAGTCACCACTTTTGCCTTGTCCATTAGCAGACATGTAATACAAGGTGGCAAAGGCAAGAATAAATCTTTCTTCTCTGGACTCCCAAATATTTAAATTTGTATTATATTTTAATAATACAAATAAGTCAGGGGTTTTTTGTTGTTTAGTGTTAGATGATTCAGATTCGTATCTTACCTTTTCTACCTTGGCTGGAAAACGAAATGTGTTGGCTTGGGGTGGGTTTTATTGTTGTTGTTTTGGGGTGTTTCTTCTTTTTCTCCTACGTGTTAACTAGAAAGCTTCAGTCAATCAAAACAACACTCACTGAACTTGATAGACGTTTCCTATTACATAGTTATTGTTGGTTTTCACTATTGAGAATGTCAGCAAACACGTCAAAGATCATGTTTTGCTCGCAAAATAAAGTGACTTTTATGTGAATTTTGGTTTTCGGTTCGAATATGGGTGCTGTTCTGGTGAATCACGTGGCAAAATTTATTTTCTGATGTAATTTTGATGGTATGTTTTTATGTCAGAGCTAGCTATTTATTTCTGTGTAGTTTAGCATCCTGATTATATGTAAGCCTGTGTTAATATTAAAAAACCTTAAACAGCAATTCCTGCTCCTGAATGTAGACTCCAAATGAACAGATATTCTGAAAAATACTTTTCAATTAGTAATCCTTTATTTGTTAAGAATTGATTGAGTAGGGTTATATATATGTAATTAGAAAACTCAGTAATATTGTAATAATGTTGACCATATTTAATTGTTGAATCATGCCTAATTTAAAAACATTAGCTTATGTGATTTTTAAGTAGGTCATAAATGTACATAATCTAGCTGTCTGCTTTTTAAATAGATTATAAAGATGCATTTAATTTAAATATTTACTATAAATTTATTTCAATAAGCAAATAGACTCGAAGTGAAAATAACTTCTTTCAGATTTATTGAAAGACACTATTTCAGACTCTGGAATCTAGTTACATCACTAAGATATTTTTATCGTAGGTACAAACAGCTAACTTATTAATCATAGAATTATTTTCTTTGCATAATGCAACAATGTAAGATTTAATACAATAGAAATGTTAACATTTTCAGTGCACTCTTAGTTGAATTTGATATATTCTCTATTTCCTTGATCTTACCAATAATAGTTATGCAGTGATATAAGTTCCATAGCCATTGAAAAAATTAAAATTGTTCCTACCTTCAAGAACAATCAAATTTTATATTCCATATATCTTAATTTAATCAAATATTTCAGTTTTAAATTATTTTTAATATGTTATATCTTTTTTTTCTGTTTTCACTCCATTTGATTTTGGTTTGGGGGTGTTGTTTTTTTTTTTTTTAATTCTTTTACACTGGTTTGCTTAAGTATGTTTTTTCTTAAAGTAACATTTTCATTTACCAGGAGAAATAAGTTTGGTTTTGAAATAGGATTTATTTTCAGTGTTACAGTGTAAGGGAATCTAATCTAGTGTATTTTAAAACTGGCACAAAAAACTAACTATAATAGAAGGTCAAGGTTTATTGCTCGGCATACTAACCACTACAATAAACATTTCACTCTAAAAATATGAAAAGATTTTGCACATGGTAAAACTTTTCTGTTTCAGCTACTCAAGAAAAAATAAATCCATAACTGTACATTTTAGCACATTAACACCTTTAGTTCTAAATATTTGACAAAGTTGAATTCAGCTATTGTATGCCCTCTTGAGTAATAGCCTCTCATTCATTTTTCTTCAATTTTTTAAAGAATTATCAGTATGTGCCAATAAAATTGTGTAAAAGCTGAATGTAAATGTTGTATTTCTTGTATTTTTAAAGTAACACTATTTCTGATGATTTCTGCAGGCAGCCATGCTGTTTAGTTCTGGGGTTTTTTGGATGGGGCTCTTATCTATCCCTGTGGCATCTCTGCTTCTTGATGTAGCGTACAAGGTGTAAGTATCATATATACATATGTATTTTTTCTAAATATATATTAATCTTTTGATTCCTTTAATAATAACAGCAGTTAAAGAATGTAGAGTTAAGAGCAGAAATATTACTATTCTGTTGTTAGTACTAATCTTGTCTAAATGAATGATTTAGTCAAGGAAAAAAGGATGCTTGAGGAACTGGAATACTAAATTTAAAGACTGAAGAAGTAGGAAAACAGGTCGTTTCACAACAGCAAGTACATTGGAGAGAATTACTGGAGAGAGTGTTTCAACTTGAAAACATACAAGGTAGAAGAAAGAATTCTATTACATCTAAACACATAATGTTTTTAAGGTGGGCTTCTTGTTGTTGTTATTTTAGCAAATGATAGTTTTGAGCAGAAATTTTTTTTTTTGCTTGCCCAAGTCTGGACACATGTAAAATATGGAATGAAGGAAAGTAGAACTTAACTTTTCCCAGGTGTCGTGTTTTAAAATCCTAACTTTTTCTACCACACCAGGCTCCACTGAAGTTAATTATATAGTAAAAGCTGTGAGAGCCGGAACTTCTGTATCAAAAAAAAAAAGAAAATGCAAGTATTTTTCACTAATGGAGAGTGATTGAAAGGTGGTAAGAGTGCACCCTGTCTTTGAGTCAGGAAAACAAAGCAATTCTGTTATCTCTCCCAGATTTCACTATATATATATATATATATACACACACACACACATATATATATATAT